TCCAACCCTCCTCCTGCTCCCTGTCTCTTGACTGCCCCCTCCAGAACCCCCTTGCCCCATCTCCGCCCCCCTTACCGTGCCGCTCAGAACAGTGTGTCAGGCTCCACGCCGAGCCCGACACGCTGCCGCGCTCCCCCACGGAGCGCATAGCCCAGTTCCCATCCTCGCAGAGTGCTGCGGAGCGGCGCGCTGGGCAGCAGGGGAGGGGCAGGAGCTCCAGACTGCTGGAGGCCCGTTGCAAATGGCCGGCGATCTGCGAATGCAGGGAAGGGGAGTGGGGGAGAGAGAGGAGGGGAGTGATCTGAAGCTGCAGGGGAGAGGAGGGGGAAGTGGAGGAGGGGCTCTGGCTGCCGGAGCCCCGTGCGAGTGGCTCGATCCGGCTGGCTGCTCTGCATGGGGGGGTGGAGGGGGAAGTGTGTGAAATCCGGACCTTTGCAAATCCCCCCCCGGACGCTATTTTTAAACTCAAAAAGCCGGACATGTCCGGGAGAGTCCGGACGAACGGTAACCCTATGAGCCCACTAGAGATGTCTGGCTCAGCTGGGAGCTGCCTGTTTGCCAGCACTCGCTCTGCGGGCTGTACCCTTTGCTGCCCCTGCAACCCGGCCTGTTGCTGTGCAGCTCCTGTCCCTGCTTGGCCGCCAGGGACACTCTGGCTCTGCCTGTGCCACTGCTCCCGCCTCCTTGGCTGCTGGGGCTGGGGCCGGGCCAGCACAGCCCTGGCCGGGGACACACCGCACAGGCCACCTGGGCACAAGGCCAGGTCTGCAGCAATAGGGTCATGGCACCATCTAGTGGCTCTCGGGAGCATGGCACCAGCATAACCCTGATCCCAAGGACAAGGCCCCAAAGCCGGGCAGGTGCCATGCAGACAGCTAGGCACTGGAAGGGGGTCCCCAGTGAGGGCTGATCCTGCGCCTCAGCTGACACTGGCTGGCGGGGACAGCTGTTTCCTTGGGGGGGGAGGGGAAAAGCAGGAAGGAACCCAGTGAAGTCCAGCTAGCGGGACCCCCCTGACCCGGAAACCTGCGCGGAGCAATGCAGCCCAGGCAGGAGGGGCGCCCAGCCATGTGGCTGCTCGGCTCGGCTTGGCCCTGGTGCTCCGGAGTCATTGGGTCCCAGCCTGGTGTCACAGGCGCTGGCTTGCAGCTGGCCCCCACATACTTTGTCTTGCTGTGGCTGAACCTAGGGGTGGGGGCCCGCCCCGACTCCATCCCCTTTGCACTGGCTCCAGGCTCTGGGGGAGGCACACTGTGAGGTAGTCTTGCCTAGCAGCTGCAGCACAAGGCCAGGAGAGCGGGGGAAGTGGGGGTTGAGCCTGATGGACTTTAGGCAATTTGAGATTCCTGGGGCTCACTGAGTTCAACTGGAACGGGGAGGTACCTGGCTCTTTCGGAAACAAGGCTCAAGGGCCTGTAGCCTCAAACATATTACGCCTCCTAACTGCCATTGATTTCAATGGAATTAGGTGCCTCAATGGCTCTGGGCCAAGGTGCTTCCGGTCTGACACCAAAATCAGGGAGCACCTTAAAAAATTATCCTTAATCTGCATCAGTGTCACAATCTGGGGCATGTGGCGTAGCCTTGCCTTGGAGTGGGATTTACCCCATCACAACTGACATTCTTGCCTACAAAATCCTTGAGCCATGCAAAGTATCATCCCTGTCTGGATGGTCCAGGGCCAGGCCAGATGCCGTGGCCCTTGGCCCCCTGCTCCCCAAACCCACCTTGGAGCTGCACAGGGGGTTCATTTTACTTTCCAGCCTGTGTATCCTAAAAATCATTTTTGCAAAGAGCATCATCTTACAATAGCGATAAATAGAACTTTATTTTATACATATGTCACCAGAAACACAAACACAATCTCGGATTTTAAAAAAAAATTAGTTTCTGAACATTAATTTAGAATTGGATCCAATGCATTTTATGTCGCTTTAAAAAAAATGAATACAACACAGACATAAAATACCCCTGGGTGTTCACAGCATAGTTATATTACCTAGACAGTAGGCAGTTTAAAATTAAATACATACACATCATGGAGTTGTACCTTCCTGCCCGCAGAGGAAGCCATTTCAATTTTTATTTTTTTTTACAATGTGCTGTGCATGCCCCCACCTGAAAACAGACCCATGGCTACCCACCAAGGTCATCCTACTTCACGAGCTAATGGACTCGGAGTGGCTGGTGACCCCTGTGGCGGCCAGGAAGCTGCGCTAGAGAGCAGCATAGGTCTGCTGTTTGTAGTGCATCATGTGCTGCCCGTAACCCTGGGCAGTGGCACAGGAGAGGTTAATATCACAGCTGGCAGACTTTGCCCCCAAAAATGTTTTTTTCCAACAAAAAAGGTATTTTTCAGCAAAATGATTTTTTTTGGTGGAAAATTTTTATTTTGGTCACATTTCCCCCCCTGCCCAGTTTTTGGGGGGCCCTGACTAGGTTTAGGGACTCCTGGCACCCCTGTGTCACTTTAGTCAAAATGTTCCGGTCTGTCAATGAAAAAACATAAATGGAACATTTCTGGGTTAAAATATTTTCACAAAAAATTGGAAATTTGACCAGAAAAGTGTTTGTGAAAACTCACTATTCAGGGATTTCGGGGTAATTTTTTTCATCAAAAACAAAAACCAAAAAAATAGTGCAGGAAGCTTTTTGGGGAAAAAAATATTTTTTTAAAAAATCCCTGAAAAAATGAATTGGCTTTTTCCGCCCAGGCCTGTTGAACCTCCCTTGTGCCTCTGGGCTACTGGTGCAGCATGTCAGCTAGCTGGCCAGTCACCTGCAGCAGGAGCCGGGGTTAACCCGTGTGGCTGCAATGGGTCTATCAGTGCACCATGGCTCTTTGGGATAAATGTACTCTAAGGCCGTCAGGCTCTGATTCCACCCCGATCAGGCCTGGGTGCCCCAGAGCTGAGCAGTCGTGAAGCCTAATGCAGCTGAGCTCTCTCTCAGACCCCAGTCTGAAGGCACTGCCCCCGCATTGCTCCCCCAGCCATTCGCATGCCCCACCCAGCCCGCAGCCCTGGCTGGCATCACTAGCCCATGCTCTCTGCAGGACTCTACTTCCAGGGTGCTAAGAACAGAGTGGGGGCTGGGGCGCCCCCTGCTGGCCACGGTTTAGAGCTACAGTGGTGTTTGTGGAGTGTATGGGCATCACTAAGGGCAGGAGGGGAGCAGTGTGCACAGGGAGCCCTTGTGCTGGGGCCCAGGTGAAGGCCCCTCCCCCTCTCCGCACGCTGCCAAGCTCATGGAGCAGCTGGGACATAGGGTGCCACAGTGAGGGCACTCTGCAGAGGGGCACTGCGCAGCCATATGTTACCAGTGGGGGGGGCACTACCGACAGAGGATGCTGAAAGTCTGGGCTAGTGTCCCACAGCACTGGGGCACAGACATCCCTGGCTTTTGCCTCCATGCCCAGGCCAGCCACACCCTCACTGCAAACCAGTCTGGCATGCAGCAGTGAAGGGAAGGGGGAAGCAGCCCTCCCTCTGGCAGGGCAGAGCCATTCCAGGCCTGGCTCTTTCCTCCACACCCTGGGCATCAACCCAGCGCCATGGCTGCTGTTCAAGGCCATGGTAGGTGGCTGTGTACAGATGGGGGTAGAAGGGGGTATATACACCTGCCACTGGCAAGGGCCAGGTGCTGGCTACATCCCTGCAGACCGGCCAGCCTGTCGGAGAGCTGCAGGGGGGCTGGCAGTGCAGTTGGAGGCATGGCCTTCCAGGCCAGGGCCAGGGTCAGACCTTCTCCCTTGGACCAGGGTCCCACTTCTAGTTTGCCAAGTCTCCCAATTCCTCCTTCCCCCAGGACTCTTCCCTAGCCTGGGCTCTGCCAGTGACGCTAAGCTGGTTCCCAGGCACCCTTCTACCTATGTACCATCTACGTGCCACCCTTCCTCCTCCGGGGCTGGGTCAGACTCTCAGGGATGGCCCTGAGGGAGGCTTTCAGGATAAGACTGGCCAACGTGGCCCCACAGGTGGGGAACAGGGACCCAGCTGGCCGGGAAAGGTGGGGGCTGGAGAGTCTAGCTGCCACAGGTGATTGGCCATCAGTGGGGAGTTGCTGGGCTCTAACACACCATGGCATCATTCCTGGCAGCTGGGTGCCTGGGTACAAATGGCTTCCTCTCTGGCGAGGTTCCTTCAAGGCCTGCCAGGTGCCTTGGGCTGCAGGGCATGTCCCAGGGTCCAAGGGCTGGGCATGGACCAAGTGTCCCATCAGCAAAGTGCAGAGCAGGCCGAGCTGGGTGGGGACTGGGGACTGGGGACACGATGGGCAGGGCCACCGGGAATCTCTTCCAAGGTCTCGATTGCTTGCGGGAGAGGCTTTGGGCGTGGGCGGATGGCCTGTTGCCTCCTCGGCCATGTGGTGGGACCTTCCAAGTGTGCCAGCTCCGGCTCTCAGGCAGCCAGCGCCTGGACGCAATGTGGGAAGGGAAGGAGGGAGCTGGCCTGGCCATCTAGGCCACAGGCTTTGGCTGCTGGCTTCGGCGATGGGCCAGTCGTCTTCGGCTGTGACAAAGGTCGGGGCCCTCCGCAAGCCCTTCAGCTTGTGCTTCTTGTGTGGGTGCTGCAGGTGAAGGAGAGTGGGGCGAGGGCGCTGGGCACAGGCCGTGAGAATCCCCGTCTTCTCCAGGCTGGGGGAGAACAGAGACGGGGGTAACCATGGGCACAGAGGCGGAAGGGACGACAGGCCAGAGGGTGGGACATGGGGAAACACAATCTGTGCCCCAAGATCTGGGGAGACCACGGCCCAACAGGAGAAGGTACCCCACAAATGATCCGTCTGCCAGCTGACCTTGGGGTGACATCCTGCGCCAGTACTGGCAGGTCCCGGAGCCCTGCGGTTTCTGCACACGTGGAGAGAGCTCTGTGTCCTGGGCAGAGCATGGGCCATGTGCCAGCTATGCCCTTAGCGTGGACTGGGAAATCTGAGGATTCAGGGCTGTGAGTGGGGGATTTCTCGCCCTCCAGCCAACCTGTGCCAGCTGTCGACTGGGACTAACAGATGCAATGGGGATCCCCCCCGGGGGGCCTGGAAACCCCTTGCCCAGGAGCATTGAGGAAGCAATACAGACAATCCACAGAACGTGCTGCCCTCCATCGCCTCCTTCATGGACAGGGCAGGAATGGGGCAGCCCAGGAGCTCTGCCCACCCCACACACAGAGGGCAGCTCAGAGCTGGCTCAGCAGCGCTTGGGCCAGCTGCTGACATGGCACAAGGCAGCTGCCCAAAGGCCCAGGGCCCGGCTCAAGTGCCAGCCCCCAGCACCTAGCAGAGCCCAAATCCCAGGAGGGCGGGGGGGGGGCGCTTGTACTCCCAGCAGGAGGGGGAGACCTGCTCCCCCCATAACCATCCTGTCCAGGTTCCTGCAAAGCCC